TGACTACTCTTCGGATGTTGCTGCACGTTGCCGCACAGCGTGACTACGAGCTTCACTCTCTTGACTTCAGCACAGCTTTCTTGCAGGGCAGCCTGCACGAGGAGATCTGGCTGCGCCATCCACCTGGCTTCACTGGGTCGTTCCCTCCTGGTACCCAGTGGAGCCTCCGACGGCCAGTCTACAGTCTCCGCCAGGCGCCACGTGAGTGGCACGACACACTGAGGACGACTCTTGCGGCTCTTGGGTTTGCCCCGTCGACTGCTGACCCGTCGCTGTTTCTGCGCACCGACACTTCGCTCCCGCCGTTCTACATCCTCGTGTACGTCGACGATCTGGTCTTTGCCACTGCTGACACTGAGACTCTTGCCCTTGTGAAGTCGGAGCTGAAGAAGAGACACACGTGCACAGACCTGGGTGAGCTGCGCAACTACCTTGGCCTGCAGATCACCCGGGACAGAGCACGCCGCACCATCACACTAACTGAGTTACACATGGTGCAGCAGGTCCTTCAGCGCTTCGGCTTCACCTGGTCCTCAGCACAAGCCACTCCTCTGGCTACAGGTCACTCGCTCTCAGCTCCACCTTCGGACGAGTCCGTAGAGCCGAGTGGTCATTACCCAGAGCTAGTGGGCTGCCTCATGTACCTGATGACCTGCACTCGTCTTGACCTTGTGTACCCTCTTGGCCTTCTGGCTCGCTACGTGGCTCCTGGTTGGCACCGAAAGGTGCACATGGATGCTGCTAAGAGGGTACTACGCTACTTGTGCAGTACATCAGGCATGGGGCTCGTGCTTGGAGGACGGGGTGACGGTGTCCTCACTGGTCACTCGGACGCCTCTTGGGTTGATGACCAGGCTACGGAGCGGTCATCACAGGGTTACACATTCAGCCTTGGTTCTGGTTCAGTTTCCTGGCGTTCTACACGTTCGTCGTCAGTTCTCGGCTCCAGCTGTGAGGCCGAGATCTACACCACAGCCATGGCTGCACAGGAGCTACGCTGGCTCACCTACCTGCTGACTGACTTGGGAGAGCGGCCTCGTTCTCCTCCAGTCCTGTACGTCGACAACAAGGCCGCCATTGCCTTGTGTCAGGAGCACAGACTGGAGCACAGAACGAAGCACATCGCTCTGCGTTACTTCCTTGCTCGAGAGCTGCAGCAGCGTGGCCAGCTTTGTCTTGCTTACGTGGCCACTTGGGCCAACACTGCTGATATATTCACCAAGGCGCTTCCGCCTGGTGATCATCAGCGTTTCTACACCTTGTCAGGCCTAGTGCCCACACTTCCTCACTTGTTGTAGGCTTTGTTTGTACTGTGAGCTATATATATATATATCTACATGTGAATTGGCCTTGTGGTCTTTCGCTTGTGCTCAGACTGTGTTGTGATGTTGTGATCCACCCTGAGCTGTGTTTTGTTTCTTCTCTTGACTGGTCGTGTGACCGTTGCTTGCTCTGGCTATCTCCCATTTCGCCTATGGGGGTATGTCAAATTATATATATATGCTTGTTTAGGTTATCTAGGCTGTATGGGGGTTAGCATTAGGGGGTACACAAACTTTCTCGATACCCTAGTCTTGTACCCTAGCCTTCACCTAATTCCAGCATCCTTGCCTTAGGTTCTTAACACTCTTGTTTCTTTTCCTCTTGTTTCTCTCTCCCTCCCTCTCAGCCCGATTCCTCTCGTGCTTTCTCATCTGCACTAATACATGGCACCACCAGCATCAGAAACGGCAGACTGTCTGGAATCGAACCCATCGCGAGCGCCGCCGAACCTCCTCTTGTCTCGCCAAACACATCGCTCCCGCTCGACGCGATCCGCAGCGCATGCTGCGAGATGGTCGTCGGCCATGTGGCAATTCCCGTCGGCGTCGCAATCCCGCTACGACTCAATGACGCGTGGTTTTTCGTGCTAATGGCGATGACCGAAGGTTGCCTCGTCGCCAGCACGAACCGCGGTTGAAAGACCATCTGCGCCGCGGGCGGCGCGCAGAGCGTCGTGCTGTGCAAGGGCATGACCCGCGCGTCTGCCGTCCATTCCCTCGCTCCCTTTACCCCGCACTCCGTCCAATCCCTCTCTCCCGTGGTCGTCTGCCCCACAACCGTGCCAGTCTTCCCTCCTCTCTCCCTCATGTTCTCTCTTTCCCAGCCTCACCCTGCCTGTCAGTCCGGTTCCTCCCCCAAACCCTGCCTCTGCAGCTTCAACGTGTATGTGTTGCAAGCAGAAGTGAAGCCGGGGTGTGTGCTGCGGCAGAACACTGTCATGTACTGGTATCCCAAGCTGAGGAGGAGAGAGAACAACCAAAGGCTAAGGGCAGTGATGATAGCACGGCTGGTGATGATTCATGAGGCATGTTAGCTAGCAATGTTTCGGAAGGCTGCTACTGACTTATTATTTTAAATATATATTTCTAGTAATAACAGCCTTTTATATTATTGAACACTGATGCATCAGCCTTTTTTCAAAGGCAACACTGATATTTCATGCTTCTTTTTTTTGGAACACTGTCTATCAGGGTTTTTACACAGGGGTACCCTGATGGGTCGACGACCCTAAAAGTGAATCTGAGGCCCTGATCGCAACCATCACCGAGCCATCCCATCCCGAACCCCCCGCCTAGCTAGCCTTTCCCCTATTTAGTCATGCCATTCTCATTGTATCGTCATTCAGTATTCAACCATTCTCGCTATTTGTTTTACTGCGCACTCTGCAAGTTCATTCATAACAAGAATGCTCATTTTTATATTCCTTTCACATTAATATGATGCGATACCTTAACTCATTATCCCATAGCGAGAGCACCCGAACCAGCCAAGCAATTCAGCCCTAGAACTCATGAACTGCCATCAGAGGTGCACGCGTGTGACGCACTCCCGCGAAGCGCATTCGCGGTTTCCCTCGTCCTCTCCGCGGTGAACCGCACTAATCATCGTGCAGCCGTATAGTCTCAAACCGCCTGTCTGCAACGCACTTTCTTCTGCTAGTGCATCCACCCATCATACTTACACATGTCGTGCCACTGCGCGCCGCCAGTGCGAGCCGCCATGGAGGTGATCGCAACGCCTCCTCTGCGCGCTGCCGCGCCGTCGCCGAGCCAATGGCAAGATGGAGGACGGCCGAGGCTGCGTGCGGCCGTGCGGTGCGGCTGTGCTGTCTCGGGACGACCGGTCGTCAGGTTTGTCCACTCCCTCACTCACTCGCTCACTCACTCGCTCACTCTAGTCTACTCCTCTCGTGTTTCGCGTGACCCGCTTCTCAGCGGCGCCACTCATCCCCCCTTCCTTCCCGCACTTCCTTCCCGCCCTTCCTTCCCCCCTTCCTTCCCGTACTTCCTTCCCGCACTTCCTTCCCCCCCTTCCTTCCCGCCCTTTCTTCTCCTGTTGCAGGAGATTTCCTCGTGCCAGACTCCCATTGGTGCGTGCCCCCTCTTCACAACGCGTTTTATGGAACGCGAATTGCCAAACCTTTGGCGACGGCGGCAGCAGCAGCAGCGGCAGGCGGCAGGCAGGACATGCGCGAGCGAGTGGGGAGGCGGAGGGTAAGGGGAGATACGAGTGAGCGGGGTACGCGAGGTACGGGGAGTGGGACCTGCGCGCGGGGACAGGCGCGGAGGGGGAGGTGGAGGAGGGGGGGGTCGAGGGGGAGGGTGAGATGAGCGCGGGAATGGGGGCAGGGGAGGTCGATGATAGGGGTTGGCGGACGGCGGAGGAGAATCGGCGGGAGGCGGAGGCATTGCGCGCAGCAGTGGAGTATAGAGACGCCGAGGAGTTTCTTATAATGGATATAAAGGAATCCGCAAATCCAAACTACCTCGCGTCGCACCAGTCGTACCCCTCCCCCTTCATCTACATCCGCCCCGTCTGCTCGCGCCCCAACGAGGGGGAGCGCTTCCCCTGCGCGCGCAACTTGCTCGTGGGCAAGGCGGACCCGCTGGAGCGCGTGCGCGCACACATGGCGCGCGCCGAGGGGCACGAGTACGTGCCTGTGGGGATGAGGGATGGCGGAGAGGGGAGCGGGGGGGAGGAGGATGAGGAAGTGTGAGGGGAGCGGACGAAGCGGGGGAGGAAGACGAGGGAGAGGAGGAGGGGAAGGACGAGGACTCTGGGGAAGGGGACTTGGCGCGCAGTGGGGGGGTCGAGCGGTTTTGGAAGGAGGAGGAGGACGAGGCGTGGGAGGCAAGACCGCGGCAATGAGGGGGCTGAGCGGGTGGGCGCGCATGCGAGCCGCGTGGGCGCTAGAGGACCGCGAGAGAGACGCCGCTGCTGCTGCTGGTGCCGTAACAGCAGCAGGGGGGAAGCAGTTGGCCGTGGAAGGGCAGGGAGGTGGGGAGGGGAAGGGGGCTTTGCAAAGCGTGGGCGCGTGGGCACGGGGGGAGGCGTTTGTGGGGGAGGTGGTGCCGTTGGAGGTGGTGGGGGATAAGGAGGTGTGGTGGAACTAGCACAAGAACGAAGGTGAGCAGCAGATCTGAACCGCCTGGCAGAAGGAGGCCGCTGCCACCGATGCGGTGCGGAGGGGTGGGATGGGGTGCGGTGCAGTGCGGTGTGGTGGTGTGGTGTGTTCTACTGTGAGGGGTATCTTGTGAGGTATCTGTGTTTGTGATGAACGACGGCGAGCAGTAGATCTGGACCGCCTGGTAGAAGGAGGCCGTCACCACTGATGCGGTGCGCTGCGGTGGGATGGGATGGGACGGGATGGGATGGGATTGGATGGGATGGCATGATGGGGTGTGTAGGTTGTCATGGGTGGGTGCTGTAGGCATGATGGGAATGAACAGGCTGTCATCACCATACGGTGCAGTGTGATGCGTGCGGTTCAGTTTAGTGCAGTGCGGTGTGGTGGTGGGTCTGCTTTGCTTTGAGGTGTCAGGCGCCGTCGTAAGTGGGGCGTGTCTGAAGAAATGATTGTGCAATCCATGGCATGGCGCCGTTGCAAGTGGGGTGGTGCAGTGGTGGGGTGCTGGTGCATGCAGCAGCGGAGGCGGGGCACATGAGGCTGCACGGCGATGTCCCTGTGGTGCGCCCCGTTGCTACCAGCAGCAGCACGTGCTCAAGCCACTCCCTCTGCCCCCCTCTTCATCTCCGCCCACACCCCCACGGGGCAGGCGATGGCGCTAGCAGCAGCGGAGGCGGGGCACACAAGGCTGCACGGCAACAAGCCCACCACGGCAGAAGCGGTGCTTGCTAGGGTGCGCCGCAAGCCACTTGCAGATTAGCGGTGAGAACAGTGCGAAGGTGGAGGTGAGGGCAGTGTGTGAGTGAGGGGACGGGGGAAGGATGGGGTACAAGAGAGAGGCGGGCGGGGCACACAAGGCTGCACGGCGACAAGCCCACCGCGGCAGAGGCATCGTCGCCAGGGTGCGCTGCAAGGCGCTGGCGGATGAGAGGTGCGTGCACTGTGGGGGGGAAGGGGGGAGGGTGGAGGGATAATCGGGTGAGGAGAGAGGTGGGCACAGTGAGGGCGGGAGGATAGTGAGGGGGAGCTGGTCGGGGGAGGTGACGTTGGATGGATTATCAGGTAGAAGATTGATAAGGTGGGGCACTGGCAGACGAGAGGTGAGGCTGTGTGAGGCGACCTGCCCCCTTCCTGTGTGGTCTCCATGTGCTCCCCATGTGCTCCCCATGTGCCCCCCATGCGGCCACTTGTGCATTCCCCCCATTGTGTGCACACTCTTCCCAGGCTAGCGAAGGAGGAGGAGCTGAGGAAGCGCTTGCGCGACCTGGCCTGGCCGCACGACACCCCTTTTGGTGTGCCCACCTTCTTGTGTGCTCCCCCCTCTCGTGTGTCTTCCCCCCTTGTGGCCCCACCCACCCATGCTCCCACTAGACTGGCAAAGGAAGAGGAGCTGAGGGGGTGCCTGGGCGACCTGGCGTACTACTAGGAGTGGGTGGCGGCATGGCCTCATGACACGTCACTCAAGGCCGTGCTTGTCATGCAGGTGCGATGCGATATGGTGCGGTGGGGTGGGGTGGGGTGGGGCCATGTAGGTGACATGTGTGGGGCCGTCAGGCGGGTGCGTGGGAGACAGGGCGGCCCATGGAGCACCAGATCCTGGACATGCTTGCGATGCAGGTGGGTGGGGATGGGGTGGGGTGGGGTGGGGTGGAGTGGGGTGGGGTGGGGTGGGGCCGTGCAGATGATATGCGTGGGGCTGTCAGGGAGTGGTAAGGGAGACAGGGCGGCCCATGGAGCACCAGGTCCTCGACATGCTCGCCATGCAGGTCGGTGGGGGTGGGGGTGGGGTTTGGAGCCACGACTCATGTGCCTCACCGCCCACCATTTTCCTTTTCTTCACCATTCGTTTTGCATCATCTCTCCTCACCGCCCTCTCGTCTCCTCTCCCCCTCCCTCCCCCACGCAAGACCCAGCTTGAGTATGGCTGAATCGAATCACCACCCACCCACCATTCGTTTTCGTCCTACCCCGCACCCAGCCCCTCCTCTTTAACAGACCCAGAAAAAGTACAACGCCATGTGTGGGTGGGAGGGACGTCAGGCTGATTCGCCACCCATCCATCCTTCTCCTTCTCCTCTCGTCACCGCTCTCTCTCCTCCTCGCTGCTGCTGTTTCCCCTCTCCCCCCCCCCCCCCCCCCCCCCCCCCAGACCCAGCGCAAGTATAACGCCATGTGCGGGCGGGACGTGCGGCTGATTCGCCACCCACACACCATTCTTTTACTTTCTACCGCTCTCCCCTCCCTTCCACTCGCCCCCTCCCCCCCCCCCCCCCCCCCAGACCCAGCGTGAGTACAACGCCATGTGTGGGCGGGACGTGCGACTGCACAAGGACCCTCTGGCCATCCGCATGGACAAGAAGTAGTGCAAGCGCGGTGAGCAGCGGTGCAGTGCGGTGAGCAGTGCATCGAGTAGAGGGCTGGTACCAGCAAGGTGATGGGTGGTACCAGCGAGGTGATGGGTGGTACCAGCGAGGTGATGGGTGGTACCACCATCCACTCTCATCCGCCCTTTCCATTCCTTCCTCTTCTTCCAGTCTTGTGTGGTGCCGCAGCCCACCTTGTCACCACACCTCCCCACCCTCCATGCGTGCAGCATGGGGTGATGGCGCTGTCTACCTTATAGTGAACTACGAGCAGCCAACACCCCCCTGTGGTGGACTACCCAACACCCACCTCGTCTGCCGATGCTCTCTGTGCTCCTCTCCCTTCCCCCCTACAGTGTGGGGCAGCGACCCCGTGTACCCCACGGTGAACTACGAGCAGGCGCCCGGCCACGGGGTGGACAACCGCGGCCCCAACTTCAACAAGCCCAGCGAGGACCCCTTCAGCGTCGTGCGCCAGGTGAGGTGCAGCTGAGGGTACAAAGAAGTCGCAAAGATGGGTTTAGAGTTACGGTGCAAGCTACAGTGTGTTGTGCTGGCACAATGTGTGGTGCGGGGGGCCTGTGCTTGTTCTTTCTTTTCCTTCACCGCCGCGTTAAAGCAACCTTCTCTCCCTCCTCTCTTCTTTCCGCACAGGTTTGTCTCTCTCCCTCGCCCTCTCCCTGTCCTGTCTCTGTCGCTCTCCATATTTCCCTCTCTTCTTCCCATATCACTCCTGGCCATATCTTCCCACCGCAGCAAGGCGGGGTGGTGGTAGTAAGGTGACGCGGTAGGACATGGGGATCGCATCGGCACTTCATTCCTTTCCCTCGGTCTATGGCTGTTGCTCTCTTTTAAACCCTCTCCCTCTCACGGTCTCGCCCCACGGCAGCTAGGCAGGGTGGTGACACAGGAGCAGATGGAGGCCATCATGACACGCGAGCAGGAGGAGGAGGCGGTGAGTCACACCTCTTGCTGCTTCTCTGCTGCCTCTCAGCTTTGAGTAGAGCGAGGGACGTGTGGGAAAGAGGAGCATGAGACGAAGAGGGGTGTGTCAAAATCCCAGCCACTAGACCACTGGGATAAAAGGGCTTGTTTGAATAGCGAGTAAGTGCACCCATAACCCCCCAGGCCAACATGCCTGTAACCCTTCCCTAGGATCAATCGGAGATCACCAGTGGACCTCTGACACCCCCCCGTACTGAGATGCCCAAAGTGCATACACCGGGATTCGAACCCGAGACCTTCGCTCTGATACCATGTCAGAATCCCAGCCACTAGACCACTGGGATAAAAAAGGTTGTTTGTGTAATAGGTAAGTGCGCCCATAACCCCCCGGGCCAACATGCCTGTAACTTGCCCGAAGTCTTGGTAGGAATGAATGCACTGTGAAAGAATTGGATACAAGTATGAAACCCTAAACTGGGCTGTACCCCACATTGGCTACCCCAATACAGCCTAACCATATATATCATACATATAATTTGACACACCCCCATAGGCAAAGTCGGGGAGAGCAATGGGTCACAAGACCAGTCAAGAGAAGCAAAGCAAGCTCATGGTGGATCACAACGTCACCACACACACTGAGCACAAACAAACAGCCACAAGGCCAGTTCACATGCAGTGGTATATATGCAACAACAACAGCACACTAATCTCTACCTAGCAGAGCAAGCATGCAGGTATATATATAGATCACAGTACAAGCAAACTTTACAGCAAGTGAGGAAACCTGGGCACAAGGCCTAACAAAGTACAGAAACGCTGATGATCACAAGTCGGAAGTGCCTTGGTGAATATATCAGCAATGTTGGCCCGAGTGGCCACGTGAGCAAGACAAAGCTGACCATGCTGCTGCAAATCTCGAGCCAGGAAGTAACGCAGAGCGATGTGCTTCGTTCTGTGCTCTAGTCTCTGCTCCTGACACAAGGCAATAGCGGCCTTGTTGTCTACGTACAGCACTGGAGGAGAACAAGGCGGCTCTCCCAGGTCGGTCAGCAGGTAGGTGAGCCAGCGTAACTCCTATATAGCCTTGCCTGTGGCGTAGATCCCAGCCTCACAACTGGAGCTGAGAACTGAAGACGAGCGTGTAGATTGCCATGAAACTGAACCAGAGCCAAGGGTGAAGGTGTAACCTTGTGACAACCGCTGCGTAGCCTGGTTGTGAACCCAAGAAGCGTCTGAGTGCCCAGTGAGGACAATGTCACTCCGTCCTCCAAGCACAAGCCCCATGCCCAATGTGCTACACAAGTAGCGTAGTACTCTCTTAGCAGCATCCATGTGCACCTTTCGGTGCCGACCAGGAGCTACGTAGCGAGCCAGAAGGCCAAGAGGGTACGCAAGGTCAGGACGAGTGCAGATCATCGGGTACATGAGACAGCCCATTAGCTCTGGGTAAGGACCATTCGGCTCTACGGACTCGTCCGAAGGTGGAGCTGAGAGCAAGTGACCTGTAGCTAGAGGAGTGGCCTATGCCGAGGACCAGATGAAGCCGAAGCGCTGAAGGACCTGCTGCACCATGTATGACTGAGTCAGTGTGATGGTGCGGCGTGCTCTGTCCCGGGTGATCTGCAAGCAAAGGTAGCTGCGCAGCTCACCCCGGTCTGTGCATGTGTGTCTCTTCTACAGCTCGGACGTCACCAGGGCTAGAGCCTCAGTGTCAGCAGTGGCAAAGACCAAGTCGTCGACGTACACGAGAATGTAGAACGGCGGCAGCGAAGTGTCGGTGCGCGGAAACAGCGACGGGTCAGCAGTCGACGGAGCAAACCCAAGAGCCGCAAGTGTCATCCTCAGTGTGTCGTGCCACTCATGTGGCGCCTGGCGGAGACCGTAGACCGGCCGCCAGAGGCTCCATTGGGTACCAGGAGAGAACGACCCAGCGAAGCCAGGCGGGCGGCGCAGCTAGATCTCCTCGTGCAGGCTGCCATATAAGAAAACTGTGCTGAAGTCAGGAGAGTGCAGCTCGTAGTCACGCTGAGCGGCAACATATAGCAGCACCCGAAGAGTGGTCATCTTCGGGGTGGGGGACAAGGTCTGGAAGAAGTCAACTCCCTCTCGCTGACTGAAACATCGAGCAACGTAACGAGCCTTGAAGACAGGCGGAGAACCTGGCGGCCGCTTCACCCTGAAAATTCACATGCCATCGACGATGTTCGCCCTAGGAGAGGGAACCTCGTCAACGTAAGTGCCTGTGGACTTCTAGAATGCCATCTCTACATCCATGGCTGTCTGCCACTGAAAGGAGTACTCACCCGCGATCGCCTCAGCGTAAGAGCGCGGGGTCGGGATGTCTAGAGCATCCGGTCTCCCTCAGGGACAAGCAGCATGGCCACGAGATGAGGCGCAGCGGCTGGAAGACACTCAAGATCCTCCTGCCTGTCCTCAAGGACGTCCGTGCCAAGAGCACACTTACCCCCGACGGACGGAGGACAGTTAGACTCAGACTCAGTAACAAGACTAGCGGTGTAGTCTAGACGACAGGCGGCAGTAAAGTCAGCAAGCTCAGCAACGAAGGCAGACGCAGCAACAGACTCAAACGACGGGTCAGTGATAACAGTGGCTAGCAAACGCGTGACAGTAGGGTGCTCAGCACGAAACCGGTCAGACTCAGGGTCAGCAACGACAGGCAGAGATGACGCAGCAAGAGACGGCAGAGGAACACGCTGCGGAGCAGAGCTTAGACGCAGAGCCATGAGGTGTGTGCCGGGGACAGCCGGCGGACGCGGAAGAGGAACACGACGACCAGTGCAGACAGGCGAGACAGGACGCGACGTAGGCTCACGACGCTTAGCAAGACCTCCTGGCTGCTCAGTGTAAGGAGAAGGAGCAGTAGACGACGGGAGGCTAAGAACCTGGCGAAGCACAGAGTCAGGCGGTAGCAGAGACGACGGAGACGGCGGAGCAAAGAACAGTCGTGGCTGCGTAGCGCCACGAGCACTAGCAGCTCTAGCACCACCAGCAGCTCCAGCACCTCCAGTAGCTCCAGAACCTCTAGCGCCAGCACCTCCAGCACTAGTGTCACCAGCAGCTCCAGAACCTCCAGCGCCAGCACCTCCAGCACCAGTGTCACCAGCAGCTCTAGAACCTACAGCGCCAGCACCTCGAGTACCACCGTCACCAGCAGCTCCAGATACTCCAGCTCGAGCACCTCTCGTACCATCGTCACCAGCAGCAGTACCCCCAGAACCGGCACCTCCAGCCCTAGGGTCTCCAGCAGCGGCACCCCAGACTCAGCACCGCTAGCCCCAAGAATGCCAGTACCTCCAGTACGAGCACCGCCAGAATCAGCGACTCCAGCACCTCCTGTAGACAAAGTACCAGCACCACTCCTAGCTGCAGAGCCCCGAGCTCCAGCAGCGCGACCCTGATGGCTAGCGTACCACTTGTGCAGCTGCGGAGGGGAGAGAGGTGCCCGCGGACGAAGGCGGCCTCTCCAAGGAGACTGCGCACCAGCAGTCTTAGTACCCTCATGCGCCGCACCCCCAGACTCAGCACCCCCAGGCTCCTCACACTCAGGCACAGCACCCCCAGACGCAGCACCCTCAGGCATAGTACCTCCAGCCTCCGCACGCTTAGGCTCAGCACCTCCAGGCTCCTCACGCACAGGCTCCGCACCCCCAGGCTCAGCACCCCCAGGCTCCTCACCCTCAGGCTCCGCACCCCCAAGCTCAGCACCCCCAGAGACAGCACCCCGAGCAGGACCACCCCCAGCAAGACCAGAGTCACCAGTGACCTCCACATGCGCAGGCACGGGAGGGTCTATCTGAGAAACACCTGAAGGAACAGGACCTGGCGCAGGGAGGGGGTCTACTTGGGGAGCACCTGGAGCGATAAAGAGCGGCGGGGGGGGGGCGAGGGGCAGTGCGGTAAGGAAAGAGACGGTAAAAGGGGACTGACTCGTCAAAGGTGATGTCCTGAGACGGAAAGACACGCCGCGAGGCGGGGTCATATAACTGCTAGCCAGGCGCATCAGGGACAAAGCCAAGGAAGACGCAAGGATTGGCGCGAGGGGAGAGCTTGTCCGCAGTGGTATCGCGGACAAAGGCACGGGCACCCCAGACTCAGAAACGCGACGCATCGCCAACCTCCCCCGTCCAGCGCATTGTGGGCGAAGTCTCCGGCACGGAGACACGGGGCCAGAGGTTGAGCTGATGCGTGGCGTACCGGACCGCAAACGGCCACAGAAAATGGGGGGCAGCCGCATGGATCATGGAGGTACGAGCAACCTCCATGACTAAGCCAATGCGGCGCTCAGCAACCCCATTCTGCTGCGAAGAGGCCGGAAGCGTGAACGTCTGGCGAATGCCGTGCTCCTCACAGTAGGCTCGCAAGAGGTCGGAGATAAACTCACCACCTCTGTCGGAGTGCAGACGCAAGACAAGAAAGTCCGACTGGAACCGCTCGCGGAGCTGGAGACGGGCAGCGCGGATCCAAGGGATCAAAACATCAGGGACCTCCCCCTTGCGCTGCAAGGGGAAGACCGTGGTGTAACGCGTGTAGTCGTTGACTACCAACAGGAAGTACCGTTCGTGGCCCTATCCACGGATGCGGGCTGGGCCCCACACGTCTAAGTGAAGAGTCTGCAGTGAAGCCTCTGTGGGAGGGAACGAGGAGGAGTGAGGAGCGGCGCGCTGCCGCCCCTAGACGCAAGGAATGAAGGGCGGCGCAGGCAAGGGAGGGAGGGAGGGCAGAGACCGAGGAAGACCAGAGACGAGGCGGCGAGATTGCATGTCACAAAGGCGAGGCAGGGAGGGGTGACAAAGGCGGTGGTGCCACAAGAGAGTCTGGTGCCACAGGCTGCGACACTCACACTGGGTAGCTAACTGGGCGGACGCGTACAACTGAGGAGACAAAGGGGTGGAGCGCGACGAAGTGGTGAGGGTGTACAGACTGGACCCAGGCGCACATGTGAACGTGGCCAGGTGACGGCCGGCCCGGGAGCATGTGCAGATCGCCACACGCTGTCCTCCACGAGTAAAGGTGTCAACCCAGTGATCCTGA